GTTCTGCCACCAGCAGAATGTGAGGACACACGCTCGCCCTGAACTGGTCACGTGCTGCGTTCACACCAAACGCAAAGCTAATTTTTCCCACCATGAGACAAAATCCATGCAAAGAAGCAAATCGACGCAAATTTCATTCACCCCCCCCCAGGTGACGTGAATAATGCAACAATAAGAGTGACACTGAACTCAGGCTCTGGCACTGACCTTAGCTAGCATCTTACTGACCACTGGTTAGCGTCAGGTAGCGCTGGAAACGTCCTCATCCAGACGCTGCTCCTGGAGATGACGGTGAAATTCTGTGTGATCTTCTGGATGAATGATCAACTCTCCTGTCGTCACTTCAGTACTTCTCCTCTTTTCTGGAGGGGAACATGCAAATTCTCGCAAATGATCCCGAGGCACAAATCCTGAACTGTCGTGTTGCGTAGTTTGGTGTGAACGCAGCGTTAGACTTTATACAGGTCAGACAGTTCTTTATTAGCCTCCTTACAATATAGAGAATATCCACTAGAGGGTTCAATCCCCACTGAGCCAACACACACTGCACTTGCAGGTAACCCACGAAGAAGATGAACATGGATGTTCAATGAGTTCCCAACAAGGCTGTCAGATGAAGGATCACATATTTCAGTATTTTCTCGGTGTTGTTCCTCACAGATCATCCACCGGGACATTAAACCAGAGAACATCCTCATCTCTCAGGGGGGCGTGGTCAAGCTGTGCGATTTCGGCTTCGCCCGCACCTTAGCGGGCGACGTCTACACCGACTACGTTGCCACTCGCTGGTACAGAGCTCCTGAACTGCTGGTGGGAGACATCAAATATGGAAAGTAAGTGTTTACATGAAGACCTGAGGATGATGATCAGGTAGAAATGTTGACCGTGTGTGTGTGTGTGTGTGTGTGTGTGTGTGTGTGTAGACCAGTAGACGTGTGGGCTGTTGGTTGTCTGTTATTAGAGATGTTCACAGGTCAGCCTTTGTTTCCCGGAGACTCAGACCTCGACCAAATTTACCACATCATCAGGTGCTTTGGTAAGAACCGAACAACTTCTCTGATAAACTGACGATAAATCTACTTTTTAACTCAACACAACTGTTGTGTTAAGTTCTGGTTTGTCTATTGAAGGTAACCTGACTGCTCATCACCAGGAGTTGTTCTACAGGAATCCTGTCTTCTCAGGAGTCAGATTGCCAGAATGTTATGGTCAAGTCCCGCTGAACCAGCGCTTCCCTACAGTCACCTCCGCTGCCGTAGACCTGGCTCAGGTACAGTGACAGTCTGAGGGCTGGTTGGAGCCGGGATACTAAGAATCAGATTAATAATATCTTTGCATTCATCTTGTCAGAGCTGTCTCCAGATGGATCCAGAAAGACGAGCTCATTGCTCCGAACTGTTAGAACATCCCCTGTTCACACAAGACTCTTTCCACATCAGGTATCTCATTTTCATTTTACACTCGTCATTCATAGAATTGTCAGTTAGCTATAGGTTCAATTTTCACTAGTGATACCATGAATCAACCATTTGACCTACACCTGTGAATCCATACAGGTTCTCCAATGAGCTAAATGCTAAGATCCAAAAGGACCACAGAGAAAACTCTAACCTTCCTAAAATAAGCAAAACCTCAAGACGCGAAAAGGAAGAAAGGAATGAGAAAAACCAGAGAGGAAAAGAGAAGAAACAACTGGAAGATGTGAGTGAGAAAGTTTACAGGGAAAAAGAGAAGAAATACAAGAAGGAAGAAGAGAAGACGGAGAAAACCAAAACAAGAGCAAAGCTTTCTAAGACTACCCAGAACACCTCCGAAACTTTAACAAGCAACAAACAATCCAAGACGTTCACAGGGAAGGTCATTGAAAATGCAGCAAGAGCTTCAGTAGCCATGAAAAGTAAAAGTGGTGCAGGGTTAAGGAAGGAACTCCTTAAATCAGAGAAAACACTCACATCCATTTCATCAAAAGGCTCCAAGGCTGTCACACGTCTGAAGGTCAATAACTCAGTGACAGAAAAACCTAAACATGGGAAAGATGCTTCTCCAGAACCAAGAGAAGATTATTTACAAAGCACAAAGAAGACAAAAGATGAGGAGTCCAGTTGCTTGTGTTGTAGTTGCACGGACACACCGGTGTCAAGTGAGAAGAATGTGATGGACATCTGTAGATCTTCTAAATCAAAGTCAGGCCAAGAGTATGAGAAGAAGAGCTGGAACAACCCAAACATAGAAGTGCCCAAAATGTGGAGAAGCTCAACCACAGACCATGTGAGTTCATCTTTGAAAAGCTTCCATCAAACAGCACGTGAAGCGTATCAGGCATCAAGCAATGGCCACACTGAGGTCCCTCCCCTAAATAAACCTACTGCCACCAAGCCATGCAAGACCCCGAACTCTTCAGAACATCAAAACTACCGACTGACCACAGAGCGAGAGCAAACAAGGACTTCTGAATGTTCAAAAGTCCCCGAGCCGTTTAACAGGACCTCAAACTCAGGTCCAGAAGTCGACATAACCAACACGTCTTTGTCCATCAATCTGTCCGAGACTCATGGTCCGTGTTTTTCATCGCAGTCCTTCACAGTTTTTTTAGAGGCCTCTCCTGCACACAGTACTATCACACTACCCAAAGGAATTTCAAATCAAAACTTTTACAAAACTGACTCGACTTCAGTTGCACCCAACAAACCGTCACAGGACCTTTCAAAAGACAAGGAGCTTGTCAAGGTAATGATTGAAACCAAAAATCAATTGGGCAGTTTTAAAACTGAGGTTCAAAAATACTTGAAAACGAGTCCATCAAAAAGAGCAGAGAGTAACCACTCACCAATGATATCCAGTGTTCCTGGAAGAGATCATGAGGACGATCCTGAATCTTCTGAGCTCTGCAACGTTCATCAACAGAGCACTTCTAAATCCAAGATCCCCTCAGAATCCAGGACCCCCTCAGAATCCAGGACCCCCTCAGAATCCAGGACCCCCTCACACACAACACTGAGTGAAATCACTAAAGCTAACACATCAGTGGGGACCACAATTCCAAAAACACTGAAAATCTCCGATAAGGAGAACAGAGAGGATTTAGAGGTTTCTGTGTCTTTTGGCAATGAAGTCGAATGTGATGTAAAATCTTTTCGAGTCCCTCACTCCAAATCTCTGATTGGACAATCTCAAGCAAAGCTTTGGTCTTCTGGCAACAACACGTCCACTGCAACTGTGACAGTGAAGACTCAGAAGACCCCAGTTTTTACAGAGACGAGGAAGAACAGCAGCCCAGAGAGGAACGACTCTGTCTCCAACGTCTCAGCTTCAACGTCTACATCAACTCTGGACCATAAAGATTCGAAGAGAAGTTTCGTCCTTCACAACAAGGACACTGCAGATATACTCCATTCCTCTCCACCTCCTCCTCCTTCCTCGACTCCTCTCCTCCTCCCTCCGTCCTCCACTACTCTTATCCCCTCGCTCTTTGTCATCAATACCAACATCCGAGCTGTCAATGATCGCCTCCCCCTCGGAAACCTCAGTCTCAGGTACTAAAGTTTTCACTTTTTGGTTTTGGTTCAATATGAAACATTCGAGTTAATTAAGGGAAAACACAGGATGTGATTTTCGGTAGTTGTTATAAAACTGTGTGTACAATATTTACGTGTTCACGTTTCTGATGAGTTTGGTTTTAATCAGTTAAATGGGCAGAGATGTCATGATTGACAGCTGACCCCCTGCTGACATGTCGTCCGTCTTAATGTACGCTGATCGTCTGTGTCTCTTCCAGGTCTGTGGATGAAACAAAGCATCACGGTGTCGTTTGCAGTCGACTGAGCCAACCGTCGAGCCACACGCCAGCATCGCTAACAACCAAGGTAACAGTACGTACGTGTTTTGTTTCCGACAGAGTCCGAACAGAAAATGTTTTCTAACTAAGTTACCGCACCCTCCTCTCAGGCATCCGATAAGCCTTTGACCAGCGAGCGCTCCGTCCTGACAGATCGCTGTAACGTCCATAACAGTGGTGATGTCGTTGTGGCCAAGAAGAAGTCAGACGTCCATTTTCCAGATTTGAGCAACTGGAGAGGACGAGATGGTTCGTACAAAAACACGAACACTTTATCTGCGCAGGATCATCAACTTATAGCGTGAGCGCCCCCTTTATGCTGTTCAACCAAAACGTGAACCTTCGCACTGGGGAAGGCAGCTAACGCTCGTGCTAACTTGGTTAGCAGTAGAGTTCAACTGAAGTCGTGATTTCCTGTAGTTCTCCTGTTTCTCTGACTTTGTTGATAAAGTCCCGCAGACAAATCGTCATGTTTTATTTATTCATTGAGAGACATTTGAAATATTATGAACAAAGTCGTCACAGTTAAGTTTTCATAGTTTATCTCAACATCTGTGAATAAAAGCAACAATCATTTTTTATTTATTAATTTATAACTATTAATCTATTAACTGTTCAAAAAATGACTCCGATGATTTTCCAGGCAAACACAACACTGTCGTCACCATGGAGACAAGGACAGACGCCGTCTCTCCTTCAGATCGACAGCAGAACAGAAACAACGTATAAACACGCGTCACGAACTCCGCCTCCTTCTTCGAACCAGTTTATAAATAACAAGTCACAAGCATCTTAAGTGAATCAGGACAAAGACAAAATGTGATCATTTTTTATTAATGGGAATTTTTTTGGGGGAAAACAGGTAATTAATGTGTTAATACTTTTTATAGAAGTGTTTTTAAATGAAAACTAGTTCTGTTGGTAAATAAACAAACATAATGTCTTCATGCAGAATAACAAATATAAAAATATTTATCGATTAAACAAAACTGTATAAACGTTTCTATGTCAGTTTCATTTAGAAACAAAAATGTTAAGATGCCAGAAATATTTTACGACTCGTCGCTGGAGTCTGAAGAAGAAGAAGAACCGTCGCTCCATCTCTCCTCCACCGTTCTCTTCATCAGCTGAGACACAGGAAGGTGGAGCCCTGGGAGAGAAGCTGCTGCGTGTCCTCTGCTATTGGCCAGGAGGTGGTACAGGAGGCGGGCTGCAGGGTTGGGGTGGCTGCTCCTGATTGGTCCTGCTGGAGCTGGCTGTCTCCTGATTGGAGGCGACCTGGCAACTGGTTTTTTAGTTGTGGCAACTTCCTGCTGTAAAATCTGTAAAAAGTTTGATTCGTGTAGTAAGTGATTTATGTACGAAAAACCTTTCAAAGCAACGCTACGCAACTTTTATCTGTCTGTGACCCCCAGCTGCCCGAGGTCGGTGGGTTCAGTTTGTCCGTCCGTCCCACTGTGGTGAACACGATATCTCAAGAAAACCTTTAGAGAACCTTTTCAAATTTGGTGCAAATACTCATCTCGACTCAACGATGAATTGATTAGATTTCAGAGGGTTCGGTCTCTTGTTGGCCTCAGTTGTCACTTGAACTCAAAGTTGAACCGATTAAATTTCATGGAATACGCCAGGAAGAGGTGATGGTGTTCTGTTATTGGTTGAACGTTTTCTACCTTCCTGGTGACGGGTGGAGGTGTGGCTGTGGTGGGGGGTGGTGGGGTGGGGGCGGGGAGCCTCCTGCAGGTGTCGTCCACGGCCCAACCATCAACCTCTGGAATCTCGAAACCTGAGAGAACAGACAGGAAGCGAGCTGGTGGACGGAAGTTAAAGGTGCGTTCAGTCATTTCCTGCACTCAACAATTAACGTGAGCAAAATGTAAAGGGATCAGAGGTCTACGAATATAAAGTCCCACGTAAACGAATCTGTGGATCTGCCGAGTGAAAGGAAATGAAGTGAAAGAGGATGTGAAGCTTCCAAAATACAAACACAAACCACATGGAGGATATTGTTCAGCTGTTGTTCACTTAAATTCTGTGTTTTATCACAATACAACTGTTGACATGTTGAGACCATGTTATTCACATGCATGTCCAGTGTGTGTGAGTGGTCATGTGTGTTTTCATGCATGTTCGTTAAAACTGATAGAAAACCAAAAGGTTTGTATGGACAGAAAAAGATGTTTAAAGCTTCTGTTCACTTTTTAATTCTCACACATTTGTCATTTATCTCTTTTTTATCTCTAACAGTTCATGTGAGGAAGTGGATCCTGAGAAATCAGAAAATGAAAGACGGATTCATTAAATTAATCTTAAAAACTTCAATGTTTGTTTTGAAATGAGAAGTTTTTTCTTGAACACACGTGTTTCTGTCTGAGCTGTTATGTGATCCGTCGGCTGCACTTCTCACAGCTAAGGTGTGTTTGTCTTTTGTCTCCGTGTGAAGCTGCAACAACAATCATGACTAACGTCCGTGAACTCACCGTGAGTCGAGTCCATGCTCTGAACCGAGAGGAGGAAGAGGAGCAGAGAGATGGACGAGCTGCAGGACATGACCTCAGATGAAGAAGAGAGGAAAGAGTGTGAGGAGGGAGGGACTGAGGAAGACGAGAGGAGGAAGGTGATGACGGACTGAAGAGGAGGAATGAAAAGGTCTGTTTATCAGGTCACGTGTTTGTGGTTCAGAGTTTCAACACGCGGTCGTTTAATCCTCTTTATTCTGTCACAGAGAAAACCCAACATGTTTCTTGACTCTTCATTTTCTTCTCAACTTTATTTAAACTATTTTTCACCACGAACATAAACCTGAAGGTTTCTCTTTAACTTCCACTGTTTAGTTTTTTTCTCTTTCTGTCGTTGTGGATCAGTCGTCACTGGTTTAGATTTGACTGGAGGAGTTAAACCTGCTGCTCTGTGTTGCTCAAGGGCGCGTTTAAGGGTTTACTTCCCACACAAAGAATTACCCCCCCCCCCACACACGTCTCCATGACTCCAGAGGACATAACATTGACTAACATTCGTTGCTGCTGAACAAACTTTAACACTAAACTGTGTCTTAACTTTAATATCTAATCGTTTAATAAACTGCGTAATGAGGTGTGAACAGATTTAGGTCCCCACAACATGAGTAATACCTGGACCACACAAACACACCTGTCCAGTCAGTGTGCGGGAATAGTGTACTTTTAATAGCAGTATTCGTAGTATAACACTATTTAAATTTAAAAAAGAATAAAACAAATCATAAATACAAAATCTTTTATTTGAGTGAAATCGCCTTAGTCTCAATAATGAGAAAAAATCAATCAATCAATAAAAAGTGCTACATGTTAGTACGGAGTGAATAATTCATGTATCGATAACCAACAAATCCATACCCTATCCATAATCTATAAACATCATGTTTAAGGTGCTCTATAAATACATCCCATTATCATCATTATCTATAAACAGTTCATCAGAAAATTCTTCTTCTTTGCTCAAGTGAATCAAAGTCGTGATTGTGTCGCCATGGTGACAGTGATGGTGACGAAGGTCTAGGAGAACTTCCTGATGAAGCGTAGTTTGAGGTAAGTTATGGTGAGGAAACAGACGGTCATGATGCCCAGAGCTAAATGATTCTGCCAGAAACCCCACGGAGAATAATCCACACCCTGCTTCGCCAGGAATTCCTCCCCCGTGCAACTGGAAACACACAACAAAGGTTCCTCATCAACCAGGGAACTACACACTGTGTGTGTGTGTGTGTGTGTGTGTGTGTGTGTGTTTCCTACGTGAGTCCAGGTGGGATGATGGTGTCGTTGAGTCCGTGACAGAAGTAAAGTCCAGTAAATTCGTTCGTCTGCAGAGCCTGAAACAAACCAAAAATCAACATGTTAATTTACACGTATGTTAAAACGTCTTCATGTGTTTTAAACGTTCTAATGTGACGAAGGTGTGTGGACTTACACTCAGGCCGTATCTGGGAATACTGAAGTATTTTAACCAAGCGAGCCAACCGGCGATGGAGGGAAGGTTCACCAGGAGACCAGCGAAGATCTGAGAGAGAGAGAGAGAGAGAGAGAGGGAGAGAG